GGGAGGGGAGGGAGGGGAGGAGAAGAGGAAGAAGGGGGAAGTAGAAGGGGAGGAGAAGAGGGGAGGAGGAAGGAGGGGAATGAGGAAGGGGATGGGGGAGAGGGGAGGGGGAGGAGGGGAAGAAGAGGGAGGAGAGGAGGAGAACAGGGAGAAAGAGGAAGGGAGGAGGGGAGGGGAAGAAGGAGGAGGGCAAGAAGAGGGAGGGAGAAGAGAAGGGGAGGAGGAGAAAGAGGATGTTGAGCAGGGAGCAGGGGAAGAGAAGCAGAAGAGGAGAAGGGGAGGAGGGAAGAAAGGGGGGAGAGAGAAAGAAGGAAGGAGAAAAGGAGGAGAGGAAGGCAAGGAGGAGGGAGGAGGAAGGCAAACCGGAGGGGGAGGAGGGCCTTCCCCCACCCTCTCTCGCGCCCTCCCCACCGCACCTGCCAGAGGTAAGCAAAGCAGAAGAGCATCCAGACAAGGGGCAGCCACAGCCCGTTGATGAAGAGGAGGCTCTCGCTCAGCCGCTGCACATCCACTGACACCAGGTTGACCACGTCGCCCACTGCGCTGACCTTCCTGGAGCCGCTGGACAGGGCCAGGACCTGGGCGGTGGGAGGAAGCAGACCTGACGCGGGCCGGAGGCCTGGGGAGGCTGGCTTCTTCATCACAGCCTCAGTTCCAGCATCTGCACAGTGCGTGGGAAGATCTCCTAAGCCAACCTCTCAGGGCTGCTGTGAGAACCAGGAGGGGGGACGATGAAACCCTCAGAAGCCCTGCAGCCCTGGGGCCATCAGAGTCACATCCCAGAAACATGGGCTTGCTGCTTGCGAGGATGACGGTGGTGATGGTGGTCCCCCAGCGGGGCGCTGTGGGGCAGGAAGCTTCATGCTGGCTTGTGATGCTCCCAGTCATGGCATCATTTATTCACTCTAAAGTCCCCTGGGGAATGTACCCTCTGTTTTTGTATCACTAAGGAAAATATTTCCAATATAATGAAGACATGTGAGAGACATCTCAATTTCAGAAGTGTTAAAAAGGAAAAAAATAAGTTTAAAAAATGAGGCCAGTGCAGAGGCTCATGCCTGTAATCCCAGCACTTTGAGAGGCCGAGGCAGGAGGATCCCTTGAGCTCAGGAGTTTGAAACCAGCCTGGGCGACATGGTGAGACCTCTCTCTGCAAAAAATAAAATAAATAAAATAAAATTTTATTTACACACGCCTGTACTTCCAGCTACTCGGGAGGTTGAGGTGGGAGCATCACCTGAGCCCAGGAAGTCGAGGCTGCGGTGACCCTGACTAAAAAAAAAAAAAAAAAAAAAGAGTGAGAGAGAGAGATTAGAATCAACGAAGTGTACAATTACTAACTCTATTTTACATCTAAGGAAACTGAGGCTCAGAGAAGTCAAGCAGCTTGCCCCAAGTCAGAGGACCTGTCAGTGCCTACGCTGGGAGTGGGGCTAGACATATCATGTACCTCCCCAACACCAACTGAGTCTCTGGCAGACTCAAATCTGCCCTAACCCCAGGGTCACAGTGGACCCCTTCTAGCCTGTTGAAGACTAAGTTCTACATGCAATTCTCTCTCTGCTGACGGTGTGACAGAGTGAAGGAGTGAGCCAGGAATGACTGAGTAGAGTGAATTGCCTGAGCCCGTGGGTTCGAGACTCGCCCGGACAACTTGGCGAGACCTCATCTCTACAATAAATCAAAAAATTAGCCGGGTGTGGTAGCGCACGCCTATAGTTCCAGCGACTTGGAAGGCTGAGGCAGAATGATCGCTGGAGCCCAGCAGGTCGAGGCTGTGGTGGCCGGAAGCAGCCACTGCACTCCAGTCTGGGTGACAGAGTGAGACTCCAACTAAAAAAAAAAAAAAAGACATTCTCCACTTGGCAAGCCTTTACGGAGCACCTACTATGTGCCTACTGCTGAGCTGGGTGCTGAGAGTGCTGGAAGGGGTGGGTTTGCTCTCCTGGGACTGGAGTTTGAGCTGGGAGCAGACTCCATAAAGATCTAGAATTCATCCTAGAGCAGCCCAGAGGTTAGAGGAGGGTTCTAAGCCCATCAGAAGGTCAAAGCCCCCCTCCCTGCAGGCAGCAGCAGGAAGAGCAGTGTCCAGTCTTCCTCTTGGGCTCACAGAAACGTCTGGACTCTCAAGCCAGACAGGGCACACCCAGCTCTGGCATGCTCAGTCAGGAGGCCGAGGTAACCCTCTGGTAGGCTGCACGGAGCCCTCCTCTGCTAGGTGACAGCTCAGGCAGGATGGGAAGGGACAAGAATTCCCGCAATGGGAGAAGCCCAAAGCTATGACTTCCCACAAGCAGTCACATTCACTCCCAGAATTCCAGGCCAGATGCAGTTTGCCAATGAGTCAAGGGGCATTTGGACCACAAGCTGAGCTTTCTGGGAACACAACTGACAGGCCCCCCTTATCCCCCACTTAATCTTTTCTCCTTGTGGGGGAACAAGTGAAGCCAATTAGATGAGGAAGAGTAGAAAGGGTACCCAGGCCTTGAGGTGAGGGTTCCCGGCATGTATGAGGAGCTAAAAGGAGGTCCATGTGGCTGGAGGAGGGTGAGCACGGGAGGAGAAGGGGTGTGTGTGATGGGATGATGTCAGAGAGGTCCCAGGGTCAGATCACTCAAGGTCTTACAGAAATAACTAAGGAAGTGAGAATGTCATGTGAATGCCTTTGAATAAGTAAGGATTGAATGGTTCTCAGTCACTGGTGACATCACTCCCAGCTCAAGTGATGTTGCCCTTCTTGACTGGGAAGGCCTGCAGCTGTCCCCTGGGGCTCACCTTTCTGTACACCAGGCCAGTGATGGCTGTCCGCAGCCTCATCTGTAGCACCTTGAGTCTGTACATATGCTGCTGCTCGAACAGTGTTTGCAGGCAGGCCACGAGGGACATCAGTGCAGCGAGGAGGTAACCCTTCCAGGCAGGGGCCCGGGGGTCGCCGATAAACTCCAGGAAGAGGCTTGCAGGGAGGGAGGAAGAAGGTGAGGCTGGTGAGAGGAGGTGCTTGTGGGTGTCGCCTTTGCCCAGACCAGGCCAGGTGTGGAGGGTCAGCCCATGTGGTTGACTTTTTGCAAAAATGGCCACAGTCACTTCCCCCCACCCTCATTCATGTTCCTTTCCACTGTGACTCTGTAGTCCCTGAGAACAAGAGGAGGAACTTTTGTTGACATGGGCTGAACTGTGTCTCCACAGAATTTCTCTGTTGAAGCCCCAAACCCTGGAGCTTCAGAACGTGACTGTGTTTGGAGATAAGGCCTCTAAAGCGGTGATTAAGTTCAAACGAGGCCTGCGGGGTGGGACCTCAAGCCATCTGACTCATGTCTTTATAAGAAGAGGTGATGTGGACACACAAGGAGGTGCCAGGGTGCACGCAAGGGAGAGACCGCATGAGGCCATCTGCAAGCCAGGGAGGGAGGCCCCAGGAGACACCAGGCTGCAGACACTTGATCTTGGACTTCCAGCCTCCAGAGCCATGACAAGACATGCTTCTGTTGCATAAACCGCCTAGTCTGTGGTCTTTTGTCATGGCAGCCCCAGCAGATGAATCCTGGAACCTGGGCTGGCCACACAGCTTGCTTTGATCAACAGGACATGGTAGAGGTGGTCTCATGCCAGCTATGAGCCCAGGGCTCAGGAAAAAATGTGTCTTTGCTCTGTTTCTTGGAGCCCTCTCAAGCAGTCATGTGAACAAGCCCGAGCTGGCCTTTTGGAGGATGGGAACCCTCTCAGAGCAGAGACAGCCACCCCAGTGGCCCTAGCCACAGACACACACATGAACCCAGCCGAGAGAAGAAAAATCGCACAGCTGAGCCCAGTCCCAACTGCTGACCCACACTGCCTTGAGCTAAATAAATGCCTGTGCTTTAAAGCCACTCACTTATGGGGCATTTTACAGCAAATGTTAACTGATAGGTGAGAGCTCACTGATTTGTCCTCCTGGGGTCAGTCACTTTCTCATTAGCCTTTTCCCTTGCTGTGTCCATCTCACCCACCAGGTCCTGAGCACCAGATATACAGGCAGAGGCAGGGAGAGTCAAAGTCCCCAGACCTCAGAAAGGTTCCGTCAAAGGGACCACCAGCCGTAGCAAGGCACTGAGGCCTGGACCCACCTGAGCAGTTTAGGAATGATGAACCTAAAGACATCACTGATGACAAGGTTGAGGGTCCCCAGGAGAAAGGGAGCACGGAAAACCTGCCAGATGGCTCTCAGCAATAGGCCCCGCTGGCTCTCTTCTGGCTGGAGGAAGCGCTCTGTCTCCCGGGCCTCCACACCTCTGCCTTCTTTTCTTTTCAGTGCTGTTGCCTTGGCGTGCCTTAGGGGAGAGGAGAGATGGGGACTGGGTCCTGTTTTTGCTCCCAGCTGCCAGCAACAGGACCCATTATGAAAGGATTATTTTCTCAACAAGGGGGTGGGTGGGTGTGGAGCCAGCCTGTTCCCTACCCTCTTCTTCCTTGTCACCCTGAATCTACTTATGAGACAGAAACCAGGGTAGAGGCTTGCCAGGCGTGGTGGCATCTGCCTGTTGTCCTAGCTACTCAGGAGGCTGAGAGGGGAGGATCGCTTGAGCCTGAGAGTTGGAGGCTACAGTGAGCTGAGGTCACACCACTGCACTCTAGCCTGGGCGACAGAGCAAGACCCCATCTCTACAAAAAAATTTAAAACTTTGCTGGACAAGGTGAGGCCTATAGTCCCAGCTACTTAGTAGGCCGAGGCAGGAGGATTGCTTGAGCCCAGGGGTGGGAGGCTGCAGAGCTGTGGTCGCGCCACTGCACTTCAGCCTGGGCAACATAGCAAGACCCTGTCTCTATAAATAAATAAATAAGAAGTGAGGCAGCGGGGTGGTGGTGGTGGTAAGGTAGGGGCAGGGCAGGAGGGCAGCCATGAGGCCCTGGGGACAGCCATGGGGATGCACCCATATTGGGCACCTACTGTGAGCTGGCACTCCTTAGTCCTAAGACCTCGGCAGGCCAGGTTTTGTCCCCATTTCACAGATGAGGAAACTGAGGCTCAGAGAGGGGAACTTGTCCAAGGGCACACAGCTGAGAAGGAAGAGGACTGTGACTTGAGCCCAGATCTCTGCCTCCAAATCCCATGCATTTTTCCATCATGATGTTGCTGCCTTTAGGAAGAACAGTCTCCTCTCCCCTCCACACACACAACCAGTCAGCCCTTATGTGGTTCTGGACTGGCTGAGAACTAGTTTAGTGGATTTTGTTGTTTATTTACTTAGAAACAGGGGTCTTCCTATGTTGCCCAGGCTGGTCTCGAACTCTTGGCCTCAAGCAATCCTCCTGCCTTAGTCTCCCAAAGTGCCAGGGTCACAGGAGTGAGTCATCACCTGGCTGAGAACTGGTTTAAAATGGTTGAGGATCATGGTGGATGTCCATGGCCCTGGTGCTCTGGGTGAACTCACAGCTGAAGCTCAGATAGCCTCAAAAAATAGGATCCTGGTCCTTGGTGGTAACCAGGGCCATAGGGAGGAGCTAAGGTGAGGAAGGGAGTGAAGGGTTGGGGGCAGCCCAGGACCCCTCCTGGGGCAGGTGGGCCCTTGGCCTGCAGGAGAGACTTGGGTGATGCAGCTGTTGACAGCCGGATGCTGTGTGGTCTTGGGCACACTGCTGCCCTCTCTGTGTGAAGGGATGAGGCTGGCCCACTCTGAGGCCCTTCTGCTCTGACCAGTTCTTTCAGTCCCCACTTATAGATCCCTGATCAGCCCTTCACTCATTGACTTCCCTCTGCTGGGTGAGAGTGTTATCAGGCTCCCCATTTTATGGAAAGGGCACTGAGGTTCTGAGAGGTGGTGGCAGCTGCCTGAGGTCACACAGCGAGCGCTGAGCAGGGATTCAAGCCCAAATCCTGAAGCATGGTTCACACAGTGCCTCCTAGTGACCCCCACGGGGTCCCCTAACCCTCACCATAAAAAAGGGAAGAAAAAAAAATCTCTGCACTCAGGTGGCCAGACCCTTGCGAACAAGGCCAAGGCCAAGGCCCCTGGCTCTCATCCCCGGCCCAGCTCTGTTTAGTTTGGCATCTGAGGAAGGTCGTGGCTTGGCACCATCACTGAGTGGGTGTGGCCTGCTGCTCACAGACACTTTGGCATTGGGGCCAAGCCAAGAGGATGTCTCCTCCCTGCAGGGGCTGTCACTGCCCCCTCCCTGTGGGATCCCGCTGAGCTCACTGCCTTCAGACATTGTCTTACTTCTCCAGCCCTTGTCTTACTCCTCTTGTTAGAAGCCTGGGAGGGCAGTCTTGGCCTGTGTTTCCCACCTGGACGCCCCAGCACCTAGTCCGACTCCCACACGTAGTAGGGGCTCCGCAGACACTTGTCAGATGAAGGGGACAAACAGATGGAATATGTGTGCCAAGTACTTAACAAGAATGCTTAGCCCATAGGGTTATAAAGATGGATGAGAAGGAGGGAGGAGGAGGGGAGGAGAGAGGAGGGGGCAGAGGGAAGAGAGGAGGAAGGAGGGAGGAAGAGAGAAGAGAAGGGAACGAAGGTGGGAGGGGGAGGGAGGAAGGAGAGGAAGAGAGAAGGGGGAAGGGGAGGAAAGGAAGAGGGAGGGAGGGAAGTGGGAGTGAGGGAGGAGGGAGGAGGAGAGAAGGGGAGGAGGGAAGAAAGGAACAAGGAAGAAAAGGAGGTAGGAGGGAGAGAGAAGAGAGGGGAGAAGGAGGGAAGGTGGGAGCAGGGAGAAAAGGAAGAGGGAGGGAGGGAGGTGAGAGTGAGGGAGGAGGGGAGGAAGAGAGGAGGGAGGGAGAGAGGGAGCACACCTTGTGAACCGATTTGGACAGCAGGTGGCTGGTTTGTCATCCTCTCAGGACGATGTCCTCTCCTCAGTAGTTGCAAAATATTTCAGAAATAAAACCAAAGTTCTCTCTGTGTGCAATCAGTTGGCTCAGAGGTGACTGAGCTGGTTTTTGTATAACCTGTCTTGTCTCTTTCTGTCAATTGCTTATGGGAGGACTCTCAAACTGTTTTGGGGAATGTTTCTGCCTTTTAGCTCCAGTATTGGGTGACCTATGATTTATTTTCTTTTTTTAGAGATGGGATCTTGCTCTGTTGTTCAGACTGGAGTGCAGTGGCACAAGCATAGCTCACTGCAGCCTCAAACTCATGGGCTTAAGTGATCCTTCTGCCTCAGCCTCCTGAGTAGCTGGAACAACACATGTGCACCACTGCACCCGGCTAATTTAAATTTTTGTTTGTTTGTTTGTAGAGACAGGGGTCTCACCATGTTGCCCAGGCTGGTCTTAAACTCCTGGCCTCAAGGAATTCTTTTGCCATGGCCTCCCAAAGCACTGGGATTGCAGGCATGAGCCACCATGCCTGGCCAATATTCATGCTGGTTGAAGAGGCCAGGAGTTGGGAGAGTGAACTCTTTGGAGTGGACTCTGTCACTTCTGTGAAATCACATAAGAGTGGAGGGCAGGCCAGCAGGACATGCCTGGGGTAAAAGAGGGAGCTGGTGTTCTGGTTTGCTCACAGTACTTGCCTTCTTTGGTAAAACATACTCTCTTCCTTTGGGAAGCAGCCTCCCCTTCTCCTCTGTGGTTCTGAAGGGACCACTCACCATGGGACCTGCTCCCTGGACAAAGGATTGGCCCCTGGTAGTCACATGACTCAAGATAGGCCAATCAGAAGCTTTCTTGGGATTTTCTATAGGTATAATAGGAGAGAGAGGCTCTCAATCGGCTGGGCTTGGTGAACTGGCATGATAAGAGATAGGCCTTGTGGAAGGACCAACACAAAACTGGGCGATGAAGAGAAAGAATCCTGACATTACATGAGATCCTGGATCCAGCCATACAGGACAAAATCATCTTAGTGATGTGAGCTTATGGGCTCACTCTTTCTCTCTCTTCTCTCTCCCTACCCTTCTTCGAATCTGTGGGATTCATCCATCTGTAGCAACCACTACAGCATCCCAGAGTATGCAGGGGAGCTTTATATATCTTTCTACAGAGCTAACTTACTTTTTTTGTGCTATCTCTGAAACGTGAAGGTCTAGGGAGATTAAGCAATGTGTCCAAGGTCATCAGCTGCTCGATGGCAGAGCAGCATTTAACCCACTTTTATCTATGCTGAAGGTTCGTTTCTCCAGACCAGAGGCTCCACAGAAGTTTCCAGAGATGCCACAGAGGGCAAGAGCAAGGCAGTGTGGGCAACCCTGAAGATCTTGAAATACTCTAATAACGAATATTATTTGAGCTCTTACCACTTTAGAAGGATCTTCCATATATCATCTTTATCATCCCCATGAACTATGAGTAGGGGTGAATGACATTCCCATTGGCCAGAGCAGAAAACAGAGGACAAGGAAACTAATTACTCAGGCTACGTTACAAGGGAGTAGTTGCCTGCATGTCATGGGCCACCCAATCCTCCATCCCCGGTCTTAAAAGACTCCTTTGTTTCCTGCCAGTCATCCACCATGAAGGCATCTTTCTGGGGGCCTTGGAGGGCCCCTAGTTGTCAGAACCTGCAAAGCATTCTGGGAGAATCTGTATCCTAGGCCTGATCAGTTGCCACTTAGTGGGATCAGCTAGAAGGCAGGGGAGTAAGACAACAGGGCCCTGGTGGTGTCAGGGGCTGGGTTGTGTCTGGAGCTGGACTGGCCAGGTGATGAGCCTTCCTGATAGGCATATCAGGGTGGGCCCCGTCCTCCAAACTCACCGTAGGACTGCACGACGTGTCCTTGTCCATTCCCTTTCTAACCGGGAAACAAGTTCTTCTGAGGAGTTTTCTCTCCCAAGCGACCAGAGGTCTTCTGGGCACAGTGGCCTCCTGTGTCCCCTCCAGACCAGCCTGCAAAAGAGGATCACCAGGGCATGCTCCTCCTGCCATTTCCCCTGTGAGATCCTGACCTCACAGGCTGTGTGACCCTGGGTAAGTCACTTCACCTCTCTATACTTTCTGCTGGGCCCTCCTTCCATTTGTGAGGAACTTTTCAGATTGCAAAGTTTGTCTCACATAATTCTCACAGGAGCACAAATGGTAGGTTACTATGATTATTAAGTGCAAATTGACACTTTATAACTGCATAAATGTATGGAGAGTAGATTATTATTGACCCATTTAACAGATGAAGAAAAAAATAGAGACTCAGAGGGACTAAGTGAGACTGTGAAAGAGTAAATGATTTAACCAAGGAACAGCTTCTCCTGGGCTCAAGTGATCCTCCTGCCCCAGCCTCCCAAGTAGCTGTGACTACAGGTATGCACCACTGCACCTGGCTAATTAAAATTTAGGAGTCCAAGGTGCAAAACTGTCATTCATGAAGAAACCTGAACTCCTCCCTCACCTTCAAATGCCCCCCTCTCCTCCTCATCCACTGTTCTAGCCACCTGGCCTCAGGACCTTTGCATGTTTGTGTCACTCTACTTAAAATTATTTTCCCACCACTCCTCACCCGACCATTTCTTTCTTTCCCTCCTGACTTTCATTTCCTCTCTCCCTCCCTGCCTTCCTTCTTTCAGACAGGGTATTGCTCTGCCACCCAAGTTGGAGTGCAGTGTTGCAATCATAGCTCACTGTAGCCTTGACCTCCTGTCCTCAAGTGATCCACCTGCCTCAGCCTCCCAAGTGGCTGGGACTACAGGCATGCATGACTATGCCTGGTTAATTTTTTTATTTATTTAGCAATCCTCATACCTCAGCCTCCCAAAATGCTGGATGATAGAAGCCACCATGCCCAGCCCCTGAGCCTCTTCTTGACAACACTTGTTGCAAGTATGATTCTCACTTTTTCAGCCTAATAATTGATTTAGTATCTTTCTCCTCACTGGATGGAGGCCCCATGGGCAGAGGTAGCACACGCCCTGTCCTCCTTCTTCTGTATTCTCACGTAGCACAGGGTGGGAGATTTGTCAAATGAAGCCTCTTACCAGTTCTGTGACCTTGGACAAGTCACTGCCCATCAATCGACCTCCACAGTCTCACCTTAAAATGAGAGCATTTCTCATCGCATGGACTTGTATGAGATCATGGTGGCTGGCACACACAAGCGAAATTAACTCCTATGAAAGGACTACAGTAGCAGGGGCACAAATTTCTTATCAGGTCTCCTTAATCTTTCCAATGACACCAAGGAGGTCTTCCTTGGAGCTGGGCTTTGACTCTTCTCTAAATCCTGTCAAGTTCCTTTCTCTAACACAGCAAACGTGGGAAATCTGCCTTTCTGATCTAGAAATCGCTCATGTTGCCGGAAATTATTTTGGACTACTCCTACATGGCAAGTGACGCTATAGATTTTTCTATTTTGGCAGTGAGAGGTTTCCTTTTAAAAAACATTAAGTAAATAGAATGCAGGTGATGCCCCAAGATGACAAAACCCAAGAAGAATGGTCCACAAACGTCTACATTTGCAGCTGGGTATGGTGGCTCTTGCCTGGCACTTTGGAAGGCTGAGGCAGGAGGACCACTTGAGGTCAGGAGTTCAAGAACAGTCTGGGCAACATAGCGAGATACCGCCCTTTGACCAAAAATAAAAATAAAAATAAAAAATTAGCCAGGCATAGTCCCAGCTTTTTGGGAGGCTAAGGCAGGAGGATGGCTTGAGCCCAGGAGGTCGAGGCTGCAGTGAGTAATGGTGGTGCTACTGTACTCCAGACTGGGCAATGAAGCAAGACTCTGCCTCCAAAAAAAAAAAAAAAAACCTAAGTTTGGGAAGCAGGGGACTAGACTCCCTGTAGAGCTGTATAAGATACTTCTAGAAGCTCTTTCTATCAGTTTCAAATATCCAAAGCCTCATGTTCTTCATTTATTTATAGACACTCGCACTCATTATGGGCCAGGCCCTGTTCTAAGTGCTTCACAAACTCATCTCATTTAATCCTCACAAACTCTATGAGGTAGGTACTATCCTTATTCGCATTTTGCAGGAGTGGAGACTCAAGCACAGAAAGGTTAAGTAGCTTGCCCAAGGCCGCATAGGCAGGAAATAGTGGGGCTGCGATTCAAATCCACTGTGGTCTGACTACGTAGTTAGGAGGGGGCCCGGGAGGTGGACTTGTCCTCAGAGCCCATTGGGTGATGCTAGAAACACAACCATCTTCTTTATCTGCCTGGAACCCTCCAAGGAGTAGACACTGGTCCTTTAACTCCTCACATCTGGTGCTTAGCACACAGTAGGTACTTACTGAGTGTTGGTGGGATGACCAAAGTCAAGTAAGGAATGTAATTTTATGGAGTGCCTGCTATGCATAAACAGTAGGCACTTTCCATCTCATGAAAGTAGAATGGTTCCTATTTTACAGAGAGGAAAATTGAGACTCCAGGTGTTTGTGACATGGCCCGCTAAGGGTTCAAACCCAGATCTCACTTCAGTGAGTGGAGGGGGCAGGATGCGGGTGGCAGACATGCAGAACACCGAGAAGTGAGAGGCTGGGATGGAGAAAATCTGGTCAGCCTTTATAAGCCTGGAGGGAACCTCACAGGTAAAGAGCTGTGGTGGGAATTAGAGTGGCAAACACAGGTGGAGAGCTCCACCTTGCCCCTTTCTGCCACTTTACTTACCCAGAAACCCACCAGAACACAGCCTTGGAGGGGAAGGAGGCCCCAGTCTCTGGGCAGGGATTCTGCAACAGTCAAAAGATGGGAAGGGGAGGTCTTAGTCTTTATCCTATGGTGAGTATGTGACAGGGGGAACCCAGGGCAGGAAGATGGATGAACTGATCGCAGTCTTAGCACTGCAAGTACACACTGAAGTGCTCTGTCTCCTTGCCAGAGGCAAATGCCAGTGGGCGTGGTGCTTCCTACCAGGCAGGGCAAAAGGAATTGGGCCCCAGGATCAACGGTGTCCACAAGGCAAAAACTAACAGTTACTCCAAAAAATAACTGTGGTGATACCGAAACCAAGTTCTCAAAACAAGGACCCTGCATAACAAAGATAACAAGGTCCTCAGCAATATCTCTCATGAATTGTGTTCTGTGGTTCTGTCAGGTGCTCCAGAAAAACTGCACAAATCTGCACTCTTCACCGATAAGGTCTGAAGGTGCCCATTTCACTGCTACTTTGCTGTCACAGCTTGTTATCACCTTTTAAGTTTTTTTTGACATTCTGGTAGGCAAAAGAAAGTCCAATCATAGTAGTAACTAGATTGTACAAGCATTTCTGAGCACCTTTTAGATGATTTCAGATCAGTCTCTTCCTCGATGAATCTTTTCCTGATTTTCCAGACGGCTTCAGTGTTACTTGTAAACTCTTTTTTTTTTTTTTTGAGTTGGAGTCTCACTCTGTCACCCAGACTGGAGTGCAGTGGCTGCTCCCGGCCACTGCAGCCTCGACCTGCTGGGCTCCGGCAATCCTTCCGCCTCAGCCTTCCCAGTAGCTGGAACTACAGGCGCGCGCTCCCACGCCCGGCTCATTTTGATTTATTCTAGAGACGAGGTCTCGCCCAGTTGCCCGGGCGGGGCTCGAACCCGTGGACTCAGGCCATCCACTCACCTCAGCCTCCCAAAGGCGCGGGATTACAGGCTGAGCCACCGAGCCCGGCACTTGTAAACTCTTGTGGAACGTGACATTTTCCTACAGAGCACATACCCCTGGTGGAATTTTCCACGCATCTGTGTACTTATGTGACTGATTCTTAGCCATATGAGGACAGGACTCTATCTGCTTGTTCACCCTAGATCCTTAACACTTCACCAGAGCACAGAGTAGGATTCAGTAAACTACTGCCTACAGGCCAAATCTGGCCCATGTCCTGTTTCTGCAAATAAAGTTGTATTGGAACACAGCCATGCTCATTTGTTGACATGTTAATCATGGCTGCTCTTGTGCTATAATGCCAGAGTTGTTTAGTTACCATAGAGATTATTGTAAGGCAAAAGTCAGATGATGTACAGAAGAGACTCTGCCAGCTCGTGGCATAGAGCAGATACATAATACACATTTTGCTGAAGGGCTGACTGAGCTAAAAGTTAAAGACCTTTGGTCACCTGGGTAGAGTGAGACCTGGATGGAGCAGAAACACAGGAGGCCCCAGGCTGGGGACCTGACGACTTACAGACTGTTGGGGGTCCTTAGGGAAGAAGGGGGGTTGATCTGCCAGGCAGGACAGCGCAAACTGTGCCACCACCAGAGTCAGGCATAGGTAGGTGGACAGGTGGCGGACAGGGTCACTCTGGAAGCCCTGCGGGAGAGAAAGTGGAGTCCCACTGAGTGTGGGTGGAAAGGAGTAAGCCATGAGGAGTGAGGCAGAGGAGACTGCCCAGAGAGGAGGCAAAGTTGGGGCTGCCCAGGGTTTCTGATGCTGGGGCAGTGCCCAGGCAGGAGACCAGGACTGCAATGCTTGAAAGCCAGAGCCCTGGCATTCCTGGTTGTCCCAGTTTCCAAACCCCTGACGGACGTGTGTTCTGTCTGCACTGAGGGCAGGCCAGGGCTGTGTCTGGGATTTACCCTTAGTAGGGTGAAGACGGGCCACAGTTGCTGGGACAGTGAGATGAAGGGACACTTTTCCTTTTCCTTGTTCCTTTCTCTATCCCAGCTGCCACCCCAATCTCCCACCGCTCCCTCTTGGCCAGCGTTCTCTGACTTGGGGAGAAGGGAACTGGTTTTGTTGAGTGTTTGCTCTGTCCTGGGCATGTGCAGCCTTCTTTCCAGGCACAGTCTCTGTAGGGCCCCACTCTGCTGGGTTTACTTGGTCCCTTTTACTCCTGGGGAAACTGAGGCTCAGAGGAGTGACAGAGCCTTGCTGCAGCTCACACAGAGGATCTGACCCAACTCATGAGTGTTTGCTGCCACATTCCATTGCTTTTGTACCCACTGCCCTGCCTTCTGGTCGTGACACCCTACTTTTCTTTCCCTGTGCTCAGGAGTGTGGTTTGTGCAGATCTGACTCTGCTCCAGGGGCAGGTGGGTGATGGCAGTAAGTACATTCCAGTCCCCTGGCCACAGTTGATGGGGTCAGGAATGGATGCAGGGCTTGTGCTTGGCTGGTGAGAGTTGGACCCATCGGGAGACTCCACCAGGTTTGCTCTGTGATGGGACATACACCTGGAGATATTGGTGACTCTTCTTGCCAACCCACTGGAGAATGAAGCCAATAAAGGCAGAGCCAAGAGACTGACATGGGGACCTGCTGGTGGTACCTGAATGCCTGAATCAGTGATGCTGGAGAGATTCCATGGATATGAGCTAATAAGTACATGAGCTGGCCAGTGTGGCTCATGCCTGTAATCCCAACACTCTGGGAGGCTGAGATGGAAGGATTGCTTGAGCCCAGGAGTTCCAGACCAGCCTGGGCAACATAGTGAGACCTCATCTCTACAAAAAGTCAAAAACATTCTCCAGACATGGTGGCATGCACCTGTTGTCCCAGCTACTCAGGAGGCTGAGGCAGGAGGATTGCCTGAGTCCAGGAAGTTGAGGCTATGGTGAGCTGTGATTGTGCCACTGCACTTAGCCTGGGCAACAGAGTGAGACCACGACTCAGAAAAAAAAAAAAAACAAACCACACACACACACACACACACACACACACACAAAGATACAAACAAACCAAAAAAACTCACAAGCTAATAAATTCCCTGTGACTTTTTCTTTTCCTTAAGCTAGTGTGAGTTGAATTTTTTTTGCTTAAAACAAGAGCCCTAGTTTTGTTTTGTTTTTCAGTTGGAGTCTTACTCTGCTTACTCTGTTGCCCAGGCTGGAGGGTAGTGGCCTGCTCATGGCCACCACATCCTCTACTTGCTGGGTTCAGGTGATTCTTCTGTCTCAGCCTTCCAAGCAGCTGGAAACTACAGGTGCATGCCACCACATCCAGCTAATTTTTTTATTTATTGTAGAGACAAGGTCTCGTCAAGTTGCCCAGACTGGTCTCAAACCCCTGGGCTCAGGCAATCCTCTCACCTCCACCTCCCAAAGTTCTGGGATTACAGGTGTGAGTCATCTCACCAGCCAAGAGCCCTAGTTTTAAATTACAATTTTTCTAATAGATTTTGTGTTCTCTCTCTCTTTTTTGGCAACTAGTAGACAATCTGATGTTCCAATTATACTAATTATACCTTAACTTAACTGCCATTTTCTCCATGGTCTCTATGAGAAAGTTTGTTCTGACTTTGGGCGAGATGTCCTTGGACACTGCCCTCCAGAGCTGTGTGACCCCGAGGGAGTCATTTTGCTCTCCTTGCCTTAGCTGCCTCATCTTTAAAATGGATCTGTTAGAATCCACCACTGAGTGCCACTGTGAGACTCCAAGGCCATGCACATTGCCACAGTGCTGTATGCATGGGTGGAACTTCAGAGCTTGTGTGGTTTCAGGATTATTGTTTCTATGCTGGGTCCAAACAGCTGATTGATAAACCCACCTTTTCATAAATTAGTGGAGGGTCTGTGGAATTTTTCCTTATAATTTCAAAGGTCACTCTTGAGAAAAAAAAAAAATATATATATATGTGCTAGGCTAGGTGCAGTGGTTCATACTTGTAATCCTAGTATTTTGGGAGGCCGAGGCAGAGGATTGCTTGAGCCCAGGAATTCAAGACCAGCCTGGGTGATATAGTGAGACCTCATCTCTACAAAAAATAAAACATAAAAAAATTAGCCAGGTGTGGTGGCACGTGCCTGTGGTCCCAACTACTCGAGAGGCTGTGGTGGAAGGATCACCTGAGCCCAGGAGATTGAGGCTGTGGTGATCATCATGATCATGCCACTGCACTCCCGCCTGGGTGACAGAGTGATGTTCTGACAAAAACAAACAAACAAAAACTGTTCTGGGCTGTGCATGGTGGCTCATGCCTGTAATGCCAGCACTTTGTGAGGCTGAGGACAGAGGATAACTTGAAGCCAGGAGTTCAAGACCAGTCTGGACAACACAGTGAGATCCTGTTTCTACGATTATTAAAAAATTAAAAATTAAAAAAAATTAAAATCTGTCCTTAAGGACAAGAAGATGTTTCTCTACCTTCTTCTTTAAGAGCAAAATGGAAGAAACTTGTCTGGCTGCAAATGTAGACCTGTAACCTGCTGCAGCCTGATGGTCAGTTTCAAGACCACTCCCTCTCCCAGAGGCCTGGGCTGACTCCCCTCATCCCCCTCACTCACTCCCCTCACCCCCCAACCTTGGGCATTTGGCAAGATCTTGGAGACATTTTGAGTTGCTGCAACTGGGGGCTGGTGTGCTCCTGGCATCCAGTGGGTAGAAGCCAGAGAAGCTGCTCAACAACCCACAATGCACAGGACTGTTTTACCCACACACCCACTCCCCAACAGAGAATCATCCAGCCAAAACAGCAATAAAGCTGATGCTGAGAAAACCCAGTCTAGACTCTTTTTCTCTTTGCAGAGAAAATTACCCATTGTCTCTCCTAATATGGAAATGCTGCTTCTCAGACTGGGCAACAGAAATATGGGCAGGTGTGCAAAATGAGTGTGTAAATATGGGGAAGGGTGAGTGCGTGGGATAAGGGGAAATGTGTGTTTATGTAGGGCAGGAGTGCATGCATGTGTATCTGTGTCTGGGTGGTACATGTGTGATGCATGAATGGGGCATAGAAGTGTGTGCCTGTGTGCAAGTGGAGTGTGTGATGTGGATGTGTAAGACAATGGGAAACTGTTAATAAAGAATGCATGGGGGCTGAACATGGTAGCTCACGCCTGTAATCCCAGCACTTGGGGAGGCTGAGGTGGGAGGACTGCTTGAGCTCAGGAGTTTGAGGCCAGCCTGGGCAACATAGCAAGACCCTGTCTCTACAAAAATTCACGCCTATAATACCAGCTACTTGGGAGGCTGAGGCGGAAGGATCACTTGAGCCCAGGAGGATGAGGCTGCAGTGAGCCAGGATTGTGCCACTGCACTCCAGCCTGGGTGAGAAAGTGAGACCTTGACTCAAAAAAAAAAGTATGGCGTGATGAGTACTTACAGGTACAGGAGTACGTTTTGTGTATCAGAACCTGAGTGACTGGCCTGTGTGTGTGTCTCTGCAGAAAACAAGGAATGTGTGGGAAAAGGAAGAGAAAGGAAGGGGGAATTCAAGGCCTGCAGCCACCAGGTTGGTTTCCTCCATGGCCCAGGCCCCGCTTACCCCTCCCGAGGCCTGCTGGGCAGCGCTGGTCGCTGGCAGGAGAAGGCAGAGCAGCCAGTACCCGAACAGCACCCCAGATGCCTGGACTCCTTTCTTTCTCTCGGCATGAATCAGGAACACGGCAAAGCTCTGGGCAGGAGAGTCAGGATGAGATCCTTAGGAGGGTGGGAGGGGGCAGGAGTCCCTTCCCCTCATTCTCCACCAAGGCAGGACCAGGCCAGGCTCCAGCCTGAGAGCGTCATTACCATCGTGGTAAGCCACACTGTAGGGTGAATGAGGAATTCGGGGGCCTCTGGCACTCCCTGCTGGATTTTCCAAAGAGCCACAGACACGCTGGAGGTGCACAGGACTATGAGGGCGATCCCAAGCACCTGAGGAGAAGGGCTTAGATGAGGCTGGGGGTGATAACGAAAGTCGCAGCACACCGGGGGTGACCCCACATCCAGCATCCCACTGGGACCCTGTGGTGAACCAATGTCGCAAGTCAGCAGTGTGTACAGGTGAATGACACAGCAGAGATATTGCAGATCAGTCCTGCCTTGTAAATGATGCACAACAAGGACTTGAGCCAACCCAGTGTTTTCCAAAATGCAGGAGGTGCCCCAAGAGCACACATGGGGAGATGTCTTTAGGTATCAAGAAGTGGCAGGATGGCTGGGCATGGTGGCTCATGCCTGCAATCTCTGCACTTTGGGAGGTTGAGGTGGGAAGATGGCTTGAGTCCAGAAGTTAGAAACCAGCCTGGACACCATAGCAAAACCTCGTCTCTACCAAAAAAAATTAGCTGGGCGTGGTGGTACACACCTGTAGTCACAGTTACTTGGGAGGCTGAGGCACGAGGATCACCCGAGCCTAGGAAGTCGAGGTTGCAGTAAGCTGTGATCTTGCCACTGTACCACTGTACTCCAATAAAGCCTGGGCAACTTAGTGAGACTTGGACTCAAAAAAAAAAAAAGAAAAAGAAAATGGCAAGATAGCCACATGTGGTGGCTCACACCTGTAATCCCAGCACTTTGGGAGGCTGAGGCAGGAGGATTGCTTGAGTTTAGGAGTTTGAGACCTGCCTGAGCAATATAAAAAGATGTCTTTACCAAAAAATTAACCAGGTGTGATGGTACACACTTGTTGTTCCAGCTACTTGGGAGGCAGAGACAGGAGGATCACTGAGCCCAGGAGGTTGAGGCTGCAGTGAGCAGTGATCTTGCCACTGCACTCCAGCAACACAGTAAGTCCCTGAATCAAAAATAAAAAAATAAAAGAAATGGCCAGAAATGAAATGCACTCATCAGGTGAAAATGCTATCCCCTCTCCAAGTCATTTCAATCCTTGTTGTGAAACCAAGGAGAAACTCTGTTGGGCCAGTAAGTTCCTAGGGTCTCTCTAATACATAATGGTCTCTCTTTTGGCTAAGAGTAAGGGAGAAGTGAGAGAGCATGTCTATACTGGCAAGAATGTCAGAGCAAGACACACTGGAGGAATTGTTGAAAATAACTCAATTAGTCTAAAGCAGAAGTTAGCAAACCACTACCCACAGGCCAGGTTTGGCCTGCTGCCTGTTTTTGTATGGGCTGTGAGCTAAGAATGGCTTTTACATTTTTCAATCATTGAAAAAAAAAATCAAAAGAAGCATAATAGGTTATAGTATGTGAAATTACATGTAATTCAAATTTCAGTGACTACAAATAAAGTTTTATTGAAACACAGTCATGCCTATAGTTATGGTGACTTCCATGCTGCAGTGGCAGATGGGAGTATTTGGAAGGGAGCCTTCAGGGCCTACAGAGCCCCAAATACCTGGGCTTTTAAGTTTGCCAACCCCTGGATTGGTGGTAGGCAGTAATGCGAAAATTAGCTACAAGATACGGGAATGAATGAACTTTGAAGAACATTCTCATAGGAGCTTAGAGGGGGAAGGGTGAGTGGAAAGACTCGCACTTTGGAATGCCAGGGTTTATTTAACATGTTAAAATAAATATACAACAATTGGAAAAACTGGTCTATAATACTGCCAGTGGAGAAACATACAAAAAAAAAATTTAAAGAGTTTCAGCCTAGTGTGCTGGAAAGTGCCAGGTTAGTTATAAATTGTCCAGGAACCTGTCAGTGCCTGTATGTGTTGTTTGAGTACACATGGATTTTTTTTCTTTTTTTTGAGTAGGGGGGTCTCACTGTGTAGCCCAGGCTGGAGTGCAGTGGCACAATCACGGTTCACCACAGCCTCAAACTCCTGGGCTTAGGCGATCCTCCAGTCTCAGTCTCCCAAGTAGTTGGGACTACAGGAATGAACCACCACACCCAGCTAATTTTTAAATTTTTTTGTAGAGATGAGGTCTCACCATGTTGCCTAGGCTGGTCTGGAACTCCTGGGCACAAGCAGCCGTCCTGCCTCAGCCTCCCAAAGTGCTGAGATTACAGGCGCAAGCCACTGCACCCAGCTTGTGTGGATTTTCATAATTACAAAATCTGTTTGGAGGGCCTTTGTTCCCCCTGAGTCTACCTCTGAAGCCTTTCTAGTATTGCTCTGTTTCAGTAACAGGCTTCCTTCTTGTCTCCACCCTTGTGCTCCATGACAGAGGAATGTCTACTTTGGGTCTCCGCCAGGTTCCAGTTTGTCCCCACCACCCCCCATTGTCTGGTTCCAGACTTCCAGGGGCGGTGCCTACCATTTTGGCTTTGAACAGAAGGGACATCCGGAGGTAGCCCCGGCCATGGCGGTGAATGGAGAGGAGATGGATGGGACCAAGCACCCAGAGGTACATAGGGGGTACCCAGACCCCTGCTGTTCTCAGGAAGCACAAGTTCAGCAAGTGGGCGGCGGCAGGTTCCTGCTCTGTCTGGTTCCAGGCCTGTGGGAATACCAGGGGGCATGCCAATATTGATCTAACATGCTAAAATAGCCCTTACAATGGTACCATGCGGGCTTCCCAAACTCACCTGCCCAGGAGGCCAGGCAACTTTTTGGACTCCTAACATTTACACAGAAATGTGCCAAGCACTCTTTGGAATACCTAATAATTCTCAACCCCATTCATCCTAACATCAACCCTACCAGGTAGATGCAAGTATCATACTGATTGGGCAGATGATGAGGCCCAGAGAGGTTGAGCAACTTGGCTGACATCACCCAGTTGGAAAGTGATAGTGCTGGGATTTGAATGCAAGGAGTTGAGTCCTGGAGTCTGGGAGATCTGGGCTGCAGAATCAGTGCACAGATTGTCACTTAATCCTTTTAACAACTCTAGAAGTTAGGTACTACTGTCTATATTTCACAAACCAGTAAACTGAGGCACCCAGAGGGGAACTGTCTCCTTCAGGCTCACAAATCTTGTTTAACAGGTGGTTTTGATCTATGTTTTGTTTGTTTGTTTGTTTATTTGTTTTTGAGTCAGAGTCTAACTCTGTCGCCCAGGCTGGAGTGTAGTGGCAGGATCATAGCTCACAGTGGCAGCCTCTGCCTCCTGGGTTCAGGTGATCCTCCCATCTCAGCATCCTGAGTAGCTGGAACGACAGGCAGGCACCATCATGCCTGGCTTACTTTTAATTTTGTGTGTGTGTGTGTGTGTGTGTGTGTGTGTGTGTAGAGACGAGGTCTTGCTATGATGCCCAGGCTGGTCTCCAACTCCTGGGCTCAAGCAATTCTCTAGCCTCAGCCTCTCAAAGTGCTGGGATTACAGGCGTGACCCACTATACCCACCTGCTCTGTGGTTTTTATCTCAGCAGGTCTGCAGGCCCTGTCTAACCCTAGGAGAAATGTGAAGTTTAGTGGACACTGCCTCCTCAATTCTTTCTCCCTTGTGTTTTGACTCCAGCTGGTTCCGCAGCTCACCAGCTTTGTAGACTTTACCCTCTCTGTGCCTCAGTTTCCTTCCTTGCCAAAGGAGAGAACCTAAGGCTTGTGTTAAATGGATCAATAGCAGTCAAGCACACAGCACAATGCTGGGCTCAGAGGAAGCCCTCAGTTAAGCCAGCTATTGTTACAGCCTCCCCCCCCCCCCCCCCCCGCCGGGCTGAACGCTGGGAGTTTGCAAATCTCCATGACCTTTGCTAAGAGGGACAGGTGGAGAAGCCAGAGTGGTAAGGGCCCTCTGGCGGCGGGAAGGGCTTGGGGGACACACTAGCGTTATGCAAATACTGGGGTCAAAGGCCCCAGTAGCTGGGAGGCCTGGGGGGTCCCTCAAACAGAGCTGGGCTCCTGCGACAGCTTGGTGAAAGGGGTCCAACACGCTGCTGTTAGGGGGTCAGAGCCGGTCTTCCCCATTTCCAGGGTCAGGAATTTGAGGGCGTCTCTTCTCCCCAGAATTGCAGCCCGAGAGCTCCTGGAAAAGGAGAGTGGGGGGGGATGGGAGTCACTCACCCCCGGGCCCGCGCAGGGTTCTCCGGGTGCGGCCATTGGCGCCGTCAGTCGGTCCCAGCGTCCGTCTGTCGGTCGGTCTAGGGCAGCCTCCTCTGCCCAGTTCCCCGCTTAGGGAAGGGCCGGCCAGCTGGTAGGACCAGGAGGGCAAGGTCCAGCGTGTGTTGGGGGTGGGGCATGGAGAGGTGAAACGAGGCAAGGTGGGAAGTGGGGGTGCTCAGAGAGGATCCTCGAAAGAGCAGGGCCCTCCTTATAGTTCCCTCATCTCAAATTTCTGAACACTTTGGACTCGGCAGTTCCAGGAATTTGTCCTCCTGCCTCAGACTCCTGAGTCGCTAGGACTACAGGTACACGCCATGTCCGGCTAATTTTTTAATTTTTAATTTTTAATTTTTGTAGAGATGAGGGCTCCCTATGTTGCCAAGGCTGGTCTCGAACTCCTGGGCTCAAGCGATCCTCTTGCCTCGGCCTCCCAAAGTACTGGGATTATGGGTGTGAGCCGACACACCCAGCCTCTTTTTCAGTTTCTTTCCTGCTGCCATGCATGTGTCCCTTTCAAAATAAGAATGAAAAACTCAGCCCTTTCAGACAGACAAGCACAGATGCTCAATTTGGGCAAAGAATTAAAGCCTTCTGTACTCACCAAGCTGCTCTGTGAATTCTTGGGGCCTTGTTTTCTTCTTTTAATCCCTCTTCCTGTTGGGCCTCCAGACCATATTTTCCCCAGTCTTTATTGGGTGTCTCCAACTCGGGTCTGGGGCCCGGGGGCCCCCCTTCAGCTCTTCTCCTGAGTCTTCTGGAAGAGCAGGGATTCAAAAAACCCAAGGGTCTTTCTCAAAGCTGAGTGTGGCAGGTCTACTGTTTCGGTGAAAATCATGTCTGTTTTATCTGAGGTGATTTCAGTGAATGCTGATGGAAATTATGGGGAGGCCAAAGCCTCCTTCCCTGTAAGCTACTCCCCTGATCCCAGAATTGGCATTGCCACAGTCACAGTCCTGGTGTTTTATTTCTTTGTATATCTGAAGATGAATTGGAGGAAATGGTCAGGAAATCAGGAAGAAGACAGAAGACATCAATTGACTGAGCCAAGAGCAGGACTTGGGGATCCCAACTCCTACTTTCTAGCTCTCTGAATAGCCTGTGGTTGTGTGCAGGGAGTGCTAGACAAGTTCCTTTCCCTCTCTGCCCCCCACCCCATTCTGTAAAATGACAAGGTTTCAAGGTCAGCATTTCCTAATTGGTAATTTTCAATCCCATGGTGATTGGGTAAAAGTCATCTATTTCAAATGTGGTTATAAAGAACAAACCCAAATAAATAGACTAATTATTTAAATGTTTCTCATTACAATTGAATAGTTGAGAATCTCACTGTATTTGAGTAAAAGCAGAGTTAGAAACTGAGATCAGAGCTCAGCACTGTGGCTCATGCCTGTAATCTCAGCACTTTGGGAGGCAGGTGTGAGAGGATTGCCTGAGCCCAGGGGTTCAAGACCAGCCTGGGCAACTTGGCGAGACCTCGTCTCTACAAAAAATAAAAAAATTAGCCAGATGTAGTGGCATGTGCCTGTAGTTTCAGTTACTTGAGAGGCTGAGGTGAAAGAATTACCTGAGCTCAGGAGGTCAAGGTTGCAGTGAGCTGTGATTGTGCCAGTGCACTCCAGCCCAAATCAAAAAAGAAAAAGAAATCAGATGTGCTTATGATTGTGAATCTGCTTGTATCATTCTCTTGTAGCCACTCTGAAGGTTTTGACTATCCTGTAGTTTAAACTTAGTTGTATATTGCTTAAGTTTTAGCCACAATGCAAATTGCAATGGGAAATCTTGTCTTACCTTGTTATTTAGAAACAAAAAATAAAAGCTATTAAAATAAAGCACTAGTTTTCCTTAGGAACAAAACAGAAGAGTTCCAAATATCAAATCAGAAAAGCAGTTTTGAGCGTGTGTGTGTGTATTTTGATGCGATGATGGTAATTAAATTCGGTATACATTATAGTATGCATTCAATCTTGGGACAAAATACAACATGCTGGTATTTGAACTTGTTTCCAGGGGAATTATACTTCATCTCACAGAGATAATTAAAAGTAAACTGTATGCACCTTAATTATGGGGAAAGTGCATATATTTGTTTCTATATATGTTATTAGAGCAAGTATTAAAATAAAATTTAAATACCTTGTTTAATAAGCTGCACTTAACATATGTTTTGCTTAAAAAAACCGTACTGATCATTTATTGTGGAAAAATGCACCAACCTATACAAATTCCCAAAGGGTTTTCTTTTCTTTCTTTCCAGTTCTTTTTCCATCCTTCCTTCCTCTTCCTTCCTCCCTCCTTCTCTTTCCCCTCTCCCTCCCTCCCTCTCTCTCTCTCTTTCTCTCTTTCCTTCTTCCTTCCTTCCTTCCTTCTCTCCCTC